GACATCCCAAACACACGGACATGGAAAACTTTCATTGTGGGCAATCCCAGTGGCACAGGGAGAGGGTAAGATTTACCCACGATCTGACAGCACTGGACTGAGTCGCATTATGCTCTGTAATTGGAAAACGGGGAGGGTGAACTCGCTAATGTGCCGTAACTTATTATTTAAAGATTATGTAATTTAATGTTAATTAATAGTAAAAGGCAAATCCGCCGAAAATTACTAGCTATATCGTGTTGATGCGTTGCGAGAAAAAATTAATCAAAAAACTCACAATAAACAATGTAGTATCTTAAAACTAAGGGGGGAGGGATATATTTACAAGGAGGTATGTGAGAGTAATACAAACGTTACCGGTACAAATGTTTATCGCATATACGATTACAATTGTCATAAATGCCGCATATTTACAATGAGATCATGCCGCTTTGGTTTAGTATAAAAAAATGAGATTTAAGGAATCTAGCAGTCAAGTGGAAAAGGGTAGATTAGGGTAGTTTTTAAGAGTGGTTCAGGCTGAATTTCCTTCTCCTTATATCGTCAATGAATCTGGCGTCTTCAGAGAGCCACCAGTATCACCAGTATCTATTTAAGGCCGGCGATACATTTAAACGCCTAAATTTTGACCGTTTTGTCAGAGGCTTATTTAAAATGGAAGGAATAAATGAATCGTTTTGAAACTCAGCATGTTTATTCATTACATATTAAAATATAAGAATCTGATTTTTTTTTCAAAATGGCCGCCATAGTAATTAATTTCCTGAGGCCCTCGCGGCGAAACGCATCAATCATGGTGATTTTTAGCTTTAGTTACAGCAATCTAAAATTTAAAAAAAAAGTCGGAGTGTGTTCATAAAACATGTATCTTCTAGTTGAACTAAGGAAAAACTAAAAAGTCAAAAAATCGTAAATTGGCACGACTCAGACAAAAAAGTTTGATTTTTGACCCTTTTTTTAACGGTTTTTGGGTAAAAAATGGCAATTTTTGAAAATTTTTGTGGCATTTTTGAAGTTCAACTAGAAGCTAATACTATAAAGAAAATGTGTGCTAAATTTCATAAGAATCGGTTGAAACCTTTTTGAGTTATCTTTCACTACAGTTTGAAAAAGTCGTTTCGAGAAAAACGCGTTCAAAGTTTAGCGTTCGCGTCTAGCGCCGAGTTGAGGCGGAGCACTTAAATGAATTTTTAATCGATAAATAATGCGAATTTCATTCTAAAAATTTACAGGCATATTTTTAAGATGGTAAACTAACTATTTATGAAAAAAAAATTCGATTTATTTTTTATTTTACATGTATCACCGGCCTTAATTTGAGTCTGTGGAAGTCAGTGATGTCCCTGTTTGGTATTGTAGTGGAATATTTTAGATTTCGATTGGAAGTATCAGCTGGATTCTGGGGGATAGATTTATTGGATTGATTTCTGAATATGTGGTACAAAATTGGTATGTTTGAGCCATTCTGAAGGTATCCTAGTTTGTCAAAAAACATGAATGCATGTGGCAGGATGTAACCTGAAATGGCTTCATCATGAAAGTTTTTGATTCCATTTTGGCTGAATTCTTTTAGGAATTTGTTATCAATGGATTTCAGTTGCGCAAAATAATCCCGGTTTATTTTTAAGAGGAGGTTGTCGATACGGGCGATATTTGCTAAGTTGTATATAGTTTTATTGTTGACAAAGTCATCAGAGTTGCGTTTGCGAAAAACATGGAGACATACACGGAGGCAGTATCTTTCGAATTTGCGCATTTTTTCTATTGTTGAGGCGCTTATATTCTACCAGATTGGGAAGGCGTACGTCATGATTGATCTGATCAGTAATAAGTAACAAATTACTTTGGCTTTAGGATATATGGTTTTGTTGAAGAATAGTCTAGAACTAGCTTTAAAGACAGTCTTTACTTTTTGGATCTGGTTTATTACGTAAGGTGTTAGTCTTAGTAAATAGTCTAGTGTCATGCCTAGATATTTTACATCCTTTTTGTTTAGTATTGGGTGTTTAACATTATTGTCATGGATGTAAATTTGAAAGTTTTTAATTTCGAGTTTGATTTTCTGGCTTAGGAATCTTAGTGGTTTATGAAAGAGGATCGTTTTACTTTTATCCGGGTTGATTTTTAAGTTCCATTGCAGGTATAGGCGGTTGTTTTGTTTACTAAAATTTCGAGGTTGGATTGGACCGAGAGAGGGGACTTATCGCCATATAGTATTATGAGATCGTCAGCGAAAGCTGCAGAGTAGGAATTGTTGTTTGTGTTTAGAGGATGGAGGTTTGGAATTGCGTACGTGAATATATTAAAAAGTTCGGGTGAATTTACTGTTCCTTGCATTAGTCCTTCAATTATATTGAAGGTGACAGTAGAGAATGTGTCTTCATTCCATGTTACGAATTTTCTGTCATTGATCATGTTCCAGACTAAGTGGATTGAATCCTCGGGAAATTTGAGATCGTTTAGGATGTATAGGAGTCCATTTTACTAAACTGAGTCAAAAGCTTGTTCTATGTCTATTAGACATGCACCCACTATTTCTCCTCTATGGAAATGGCGATTTATGTCTGTGATGATTTTGTGTATGGCATGAGATGTGGAGTGGTTTCTTTTAAAACCGAACTGGTTATCAGGCACCCTCCATAATATAAAGTAAAGCGCGTGGCCTGACTAAGATTTCCCTAAGAATTCACGCTCTAGCACTTGAATACGCTATCTGGTAGCTAAATTTAAAATTAGAGTAGATAGGTCGAATTTTGCTACGCCACTAATATAAATAATAATATTTATAATATTAATATATTGATAAACCATAACATTGAAATCATTATATATTTACACTGTATATTAATAATTTATAACTTTTTATAATTGATATTAAAAATATTTCATAAGTGAATAGATAATTAAAACGATCACTGATATATTATAATGTATTATATATTTGTATAATATATAATAGTTAATGAATTTATAAATAGTTTATTCTCTCTTTCACAAATGGTTATCGATATTATTTAATAACTATAAATTTAATAATATGCATTCATCTCAAGAAAACAAATTGAATGGTTTGAAATAATACTTATCTAATCGAAAATAAAACAATAAAAATACATATATATATATATATATATATATATATAGTTAATATATAGTTAAATAAGACTGGAATAACTTTTATTTCTGACATATATAATTTATTCACATATATATATATATANCAACAACAACAACAGCAACAACAACAACAGCAACAACAACAACAGCAACAACAACAACAACAGCAACAGCAGCAACAAACGAGTAGGAAGCATCAAAGAAAAAATAATGTTACTCCTAGAAGTAATAAACGACAAATAGATATTAGAAAGCAAACTTCAACAAATGAGCAACTTCATCAGAGACACGAAGAACAAAAAACATCGAGTCATACGTTCTCAGAGCAAGCTTATCAGCATCAACAAAAGTATCAACAAAATAATGCTTATTGGAGAAGTAGAAATTGTAAAAGTAATTATACAGCTGAAGCACTAATTAGTTCAAATACTAATATCAATGATACTAATAATCAGGATAAGCATACATCCTTAAAGCTTATTTCTAGTCATTCACAAAATAAATTCCAAAGTAGCCTACCAACCAGTGATGCTGTGATGCCACTTAACTATTTTTCAAATACAGATGACAATACAGGATATGGGCAAATGGTTAATCAGAATTTTAATTCTTATACATATTCATCAAATGCCAATATCTATCCTACTTCGACTTTTATAACTAGTATACCAAATACATCTAGTAGCTACATGATGCCATTGCATGAAAATACGGATTATATGGAGGTAAATACATTTTTACTACCAAATACACCAATAACAACATCTACTACTACCACTTCAACAATTAATGTATCTACAAGTGCGACTCAACAAAAACATCAAAATTATGGGAAACATCAAAACTGCGATAAACGCTCCTATGCATCAACTGCAAAGAAGGGTAAAAGGAAAGGTGTAGACGGGACAATACAAAATATTGAATTCCCTCTTGCTAATATGAATTCACCTCTAGAAGATTATCATCAATCGAATTCATTTTTACCTTTGCCACATGCAAATTCTCTTTATCAGAATCATTCGCAAACAAACATGTATACAAAGGCTGTAAATACTTTGCCACCACCACCATCCGTTGCTGGGAATCAAAATGTGCCTACAATAACACCTGCTGGTTTTTCCGTAAATCCAAATATTCCTAGAGTTCGAGTTGTCACAAGTAATTCAGTGACCATGTCTCATCACCCATCTGGAACCAGTCTCACCAATTTTAATTTAAGTACAATTTTTCCTGAAATGAATGACAAAGTATGTTAAAACATTATTATTTATTTTAGCTATAAAATAATGCGTACTTTGGAATCTGTAAATGTATTCTCTTTTTTGTACTTTTTACTTTTTAGATAACTGGATACAAATCTACTAGCGGTATTCCACCTGGTCCATCTCAATTATCTAATCATGGATCGGTACCTTATGCACAACGAATAAATTACACAAATTCTTTATGTCATTTACCTCAGGTCAGAACATTAATAATTATCTTACTTAATAATAAGCCTACTTTTTACCTATTTTTTATCAATTTAAGTTTAACAATCAAAGTAAAATATATATAATATTAAAATATGGCATTTCATTTCAATTATTTTAATTTTATATCGTAACAAAATGTCTTTTTAGGTATCAGAAGCTATGCAGTTTAGTAACGACGTAACTTCTGTTACATCTCGTTCTCCATCTACTGCTTCAGCTCCTCCACCACCTCCACCACCACCGTTACCACCATCAGGAGTAATTCATTATAAAAATGTATAATAATGTTTATAGTTTAGTAATTAATGAATGTTATTTTATCAAGTACAAATGTATATATGTAAATAATAATATAGGTAAAAATTAAATTAACAAATTATTCGTAAATTTATTTGTTTCTTTCTTTGTTTATATTTATATATATTTGCTGAAATAACAGTTGTTATTTGAGATTTTTCTAAAAGTAATTATATTACAAATCTTATTCAACGATTTATATACAATAATTGACTATAATTTTTATCCAATGATAAAATTATAAATAAATTACAATGAATATCTTTAAGTATTAGTACAATTATGCTATTTTATAAAAATGTAATGAATTTAACTTTTCATATACATATGTTTACATATTTATAAATATATATATATAAATACAACAGCGTTATATCATATTTTTACTTGGAGGTTTTAGTGGTATTTTACCAACTATAAATTCGTTTGCTAAATAAATACTTTTTTCATCATCAGTTAATTGTAATTCTTCAGAATAAGTAGTATCATCAGTGGGAGTATTTTTTTGTGCAAATGAGAATAGTGATTTTTCATTAGATTGATTTGCAACAAGCGATTCATTTACTGTTCCAATTTGATTGTGAGCTGCGCCATTAAATGGTGAATTAGTTTGTTTTGAAATAAATGGATTGGTTGTAGTAGTTGTGGCTGTTGTACTCGTTTGCATAAAAGAAGAAGTAAAACCTCCAAACGTAGGTACAATAAAAGGTGATGATGTTATATTTGTATTACCATTAAAGCTTGTTCCTGTTGTAGCTCCAAATGGCATGGCAGATGAAACAACTGTATTGCTTAATGGATTAGTTGTACTTGTTATACCAAATGTTGGCCTTGCAATGGTATATGTTGTATTTTTAGTATCAGTTTGCGAGTTTACTGTACCGTAGTGTGTCGTAGTTGCTGCCGAGGCAAAGGAAGCTGTATTTGTTGCTGGCATAACAGCTAAAGCATTTTGAGAAACTCCAAAATTGCCCACATTACTTGTAGTTTTTGTAACATTAAAAACATTATTTCCTTGACTCGCAGGAACAAAGTTCGATGAGGCAATAAATTTACCGAAAATATTATCACTAGGCACTTGTGTATCTTTGTTAAATGTTTGACCTCCAAAAATAGATGGACTAGAATTATTTGTAAATGATCCAGCATTTGCTCCAAATGCTGGTGCACCTCCAAATACTGTAGTAGTCTTCGGCTGTCCAAAAATACTTGTTGAATTAGTAGACATATTTCCTGATGATGTAGTTGATCCTCCAAAGATAGAATTTGATGTTTGTATAGCAGAAGATTCTCCAAATGGTCCATTGGTGGATGGTTTATTTTCACCAAACAGGGATGTATTTGATTGAGGTGTATAAAATAAAGAACTGGAAGGTACTACTGTTCCGCTATCAAATACTGATGTTGTTGTCTGTGATGTACTTGGTCTGGCAAAAACATTAGTAGTTTGAGTGGTAGTACCAAAATTGCTAGGTTGGCCAAATACTGCTTGTGATGTTGCACCACCAAAAATAGAATTGTTCTCTAGCGCAACTGTACCAAATGTTTGATTATTTTGTCCATTACCAAATACAGGAGTATTCGTAGTACCACCAAATACTGAATTTGAATTAGTTACATTAGGAAATGTCAATGCGTTGTTACCAAAAGTTGAACTAGCACCAAACAAAGATGCTGAATTGCTCGTTCTTGTAAATGGAGATGGATTATTATTTACCGAACCAAAACCTTGACCAAATGTATTATTTTGATTAACAAATGTTTCAGTACCAAACACATTAGTTAACATTTGTGAATTTGCAAAAGAGAAATTGGACATATCTGATGTTCCATTGTTAAATCTATTACCTAAAAGTTTTTTCTTCAAAAAAGAAAAGAAAAAACAATTTCATTAAAAAGTACTTATAATGAATAATTAGATTATGAATGTTTATGTAAATATAATATAATTAATAGTACAAAAATATTCAAGCTCGCAAAAAATATATTCTGTAAAAATATATATATATAAATTCATAAACATACACAATTTCTTCTTAAAAATTTTTTAATATAATTATAAATAAAACAATAGTATTACTTACCAACATTTCTAAAGTTTCTTCCGTAGGATATTTTAAAGCTTCACGTTTTGCTTGCATATCCTGACATAATTGTTGAAAGCGAAGTTTCTATAAATGAAAAAGAAATGATACAGATCATATATATGTATATAGCAGCAAATACTTTCAGATTAGTAAGTAAACTAATTAATTAATTTATTTATTTATTCATTTACTGCCTGTTCGACGACACCATTTTTTTGCGCTTGATACATTTCCCATCTAACTTCTTCAGGTGATACATCATCCATGCCAGGTATAGTAGGTCGATCTCTGAATGGTGCAAAACACGACAATAACCATTGGCCACCCATCTCAGCACAAAGTACTTCGCGTGCAATAACAACCCTAATATTAGATTAATTGTTATTAGAAGATACGCATATGATACAAAATTAAAATGTTTTTGTTTTTTCCTATCACTTACGCTGTCTTATTCTCATCATTGACATTGTTAACATTTACTGCAAAGAAAGACAAGAAATAATTCAATTTATGGTATAATAATAATATAATAAAAAATATAACAATTTTGTATTTACCAAAGCCATTATAATGTTCATATTGACAATATTGTCCATTACGACAATTGCCTTGGCGATAAAACTTACAGGCTGGCATCATATCGCTGAAGTAGTATAAATTTCAATAACAGAATTTACAGTACTTAAACACTGCGATGTAAACAATTCTAACCTATTAAGTCATATATAGTGTAAAACTCAAAATATATTAATAGATATTTCTCCATGTATAAAAGGAATAATAGAAAATAAAAAAGAAACGAAAAGAAATCCTGTAAGATCTACAGATAAAATAACAAGATTTTTTAAATTTATTGTAAGTAAAACAAGCTTTTAATTGTCTCATAAGATTATTCTACATAACCTCTTGCACTATGACAACACTTGTGATATATTTTTCGGAGAAAATATTAGAGACTGAAAATATAGCATCGAATCTGGCGAGCATTTAATCATAATACAAAGAATTAATGATAAAGTGACAATACACTAACTTTTTGTTTTAATAACTTTGATTGTTAAATAATGTTGATTCCGATAATTTTGATAATAGTTTCTTTGACCCTGTTCATGAAAATACAATATATTCTGGTAAATGAACTACAAAAATGATAATGATACAGTAACACGTGCTTGATTACTAAACAACTGCTTTTTTCCCGTCTTTGTCTCACCATAAGACAATGTGCCGCTATTTTACTGTTAACATTATTCGATCTCTAGTCAGTGATCCCAGAGACTTTAGTTCGCTTGATCGACACAGGGGCGTAAAATTACGTACGCCCCGGGAAAAATTTGAATTACTATAATTTTTCGAATGAGATTTTCAAAATCTGGAAAAAAGTGCAAGTTCCACCGTTTTTTTTTTTTTTTTAGTCTTCAAGTTCTAAAACCTATCGTAAAAACGGTAAAAACGGCGTACGGCAGGGAGAAAGACTTGTTCGTACAGAGATCGTACACAGATCGTACACGAATCGTGGTGGTGGTCCTCGAAATTTCGATTCACTATCGGAAAATCGTACCCGTTTCCAAAATTTTGAATCGTACAAGGCCTCAAATTATCGTACAAATGGGATCACTGACTCTCTCTTATATCCAACTTTACGCGGCTTACATGGAGAGTTTTATTATCAAGCTTTGCTGACTGAAGAAAAAATTTACGTTTAGACCGCTTTCGTCACCGATAACTGACACCACGGAGCCTAGATACCAGGAGGGCAATCGACATAGGAAAATAACTAGCAAACGCAACTGGAAAGAAAAAGAAAGATCATTATCGGAAATACGCCGCTAGGTTTCGTTATGTTCACTAATGTCAAGTTTATAACGTCATATTTTTCATTGACAATTGTTGACAATACTGCATCATTAACAATTGTATTAATGTTTTTTTAATTTATAAAAAGTAATATTTATTTAAAAATGGTAAATAAGTGTATTGTTCACGGGTGTACAAGTGGACGAGTCAAGGATCGTAATAAGAATGCTAATCAGAGAAATACGTCTTTATTCACTTTACCACAGATAATATAACCTTAATTGATAGTTATTAATTACTAATATAAAAAAATGCAATGATGCAAATGGTAAAAAGTCTAGTCTTGTAAAAAGTGCAATTTACGATAATAAATTATAATTTACTTTTAATTGGACTTTTTTAATTTAGTTTTCCATCCTTTACTCAACTGCGACTAGGTAAGATGAAATTGAATAGATTTACACAACAAGTTGACGATAATATCTTGGAAATAATTGTAAAATAATAAAAAAGTTTTTCTTATTGCTATTTTTAACGTTAATTATAAGATTTGGTTAATTTATTTTGACTAACGCGTGAGTAGAATTGTTACATTCCCGCGACAATAAACAAGGTTTTAAAAACCTGATATTAGCCACACTAACGCGCTCTAGTGGCAAAATATCTGTCCCGCCATTTTCGAACATTTCTAATACATTGCGATCGCCCTCCTGCCGCCGTATTCATAGTGGGCTCTTACACTTAAGTCCGCCTTAAGCATGGTCTTAAGCTAGCGTTTACATTCATAGACGTAATCTTAAGATATGCTTAAAAGTTTGATCTTAGCCAAGATGTGTAATTGGATAGATCACAGAGGATAGATACCAGGAGTCCGAACGATATAGGATTTTTTACATTTTTTGATTCAAATAATGAAGATATAATTATACGTACTCCAAAACGCTATATTCGAGATATACAAGATCCTTTTGATTTTTATTTAGATGTTGAATTTAAAAAGCGATACAGATTTGACAAAAACAGTATTATGTTTGGAATACTACCACTAATAGAACCGAATTTATAGAAGTTATCTCCGTTTTCCAATTACAGCACTAAAGCGCATTATGCGGCATAATGCTCAACGTTGAATGTTTCAACCTGTGCTGCCAGATCGTGGGTAAATCTTACCCTCTCCCTGTGCCACTGGGATTGCACACAATGAAAGTTATCCATGTCCGTGTGTTCGGGATGTCGAAAGAAGTCGAGTGTATCCGAAGTTGGCGGGCACGAGTCGCTTTCATCATATATGTAATACTTCTATATGGACAGTTTCTATAAGTGGAAGCTGTTCCGACTAAGAAAGACAGAAGAATAACACTTTCTCTGTCCTCTGAGGTTCCAGCTCGGTTCTGCGCATTCTTTTGTGCGCAAAGGGGAAAGCAGCGGGTTATTCAAAACAGGAATGTTATTATAAA